CGCACACACACACACACACACACACACACACACACACACACACACACACACACACATATACACATATACACACATATACACACACATACGCACATATACACACATACACACATATACACACACATATACACACACGTATACACAACACAGTGAATTTCAGCCTTACTTAAAAATGACCGAATCTTCATCGCCTTGCAGCCGCTTGGTGAGAAAAAGCTCGCCGCTATCCGATACTGCCAGGCTTTGGATTTTTCCATCGATAAATTGCTCGGAGATCACTTGGCCAGACAAATCCATAATTTTGAGCTGAGTCAGTGCTGAATACTCCTCGGCAAATGCTGAGATTATCTGGAAATAAAGTTCGGCTGGCGCAAAACAAAAGCATCCTCTTCTGGCTCGACTACACTCAACAGAAATAGATAGATAACAAATCCTGATTCGCTGAATTTAGTGGATATTTCCAAAACCGGGAGCACGTATGGCATAGCCTATATGGCATATGACTTAATGGATCGAAACAATTCTTATCTATTACAAACATTTCAATACTTCCATTCCCTTTTTTCACTTCGTTTTTCTTCCCTTCTTCATTTTTTCTCTGTTTCATTATTTTCTACTTATCCTTCAACAGCGGAAATAAAAATCGTTTTTTGCCCAAGAGAATGCTCACCTTTCCCTGATAGTGCAAAACCTGGCAAAACGGGGAGGCTTTCTTCGAGAACTCGTTCTTTTCTTGGAATAAGACATTTGCGGATCGATCAAACTTGAACAGTCCTCCTTTTGCAGCCACCCATATGTGCCCCTGACTGTCCACGCACACACTAAAAAAACAACACCATTAAAAAATGTTAAATAATTTGAAAGTACGCATGGGCATCTCAAAAATACCAGGATTTCAACACGCCACCCAAGTGGTGGTTATGCTACAGAGGGCAAGAGCTCCGCAAAATGATTAATCCGAGTGAAGGACACTGGTGACCACTGGTCAGTAATGTTAAAAAAGCGCCAGGAGCCAAAACCCGATAACCACGAGATGGACAAGGATTTCCCGGACAAGCAACACACTGCTACCGAATCCGGCCAGCCAAGGCTCCCCTTCCAGGGCCTCATTTTCGGTACAGCATTGCAAAAAAAAAAAAACAAAAACGAACCTGTATGGAACTTTGGCACCGTGTGGCGTCAGGTGTATCAGCATCTCCTCGAGACGCTGATGGTTGGCAGTCGTGGACAGTGTCTCGGTCATGATCCTGGATAACCACCACCGCCGTCCGGGAACGAATCCAGCAAGCGGAAGCCGAGGAACACAAGGTACGAGACGGGGAAATACACATAACCTCAGTGAATTCAAAACTGAAGAACGACTTATCACTGCGTGCAAACATTCGTTGCTAGAGAAGTTTTCAATTTTTGCAGCTCAATCCTGCTTGCAATACTTTCAGTCCTTTTTTTCTTTTTACTTTCCTCTTTTCTCTTTCTCCACTTCTAGCACTTCAGTATGTCATTATTATGCTTCTTTCCTACATGCCGAGTAGGGGGCTGTACTGACGATTCCCACTTCCACTCGCGCCCGATACTTTGCCGGTGTTTACAGCTAAGGGATAAAACTCGGACTGGCCCAAACTTATCTGATCCTTTCGAACATGTGATTT